GAAGATCAAATCAGACAGGGTTGTTATGTTTTAATCAAAATGTTTAAAACAATGAAGGTGTTTTAAACCAATTTGTTTTAATACTGTTTTAAACACTGTTTTTTGTCGTTTGTGAATTATTCAAGTTTTTTTTTATATTTTTTAAGTTTGATTAAAATTGTTGATTTTGCAAAACGAAACTAAAAGGGCCATGGGTACTAAAAAATATACTTTATTTTTTATTAATTAATCAAACATGAAACTAGGGAACCTTTTTCACAATCCTCCAAGCTACTCAACTTTAAGAAAATAGGTTCGGTAGAAACATCACCATTGTCGGTATCAGAACTATCTGATATACATGTTATGAATATTTTGTTTTTCTAACAAACTTCCTTGTTTAAGTTGTTTACAATTTTTAATATGCTTGCGATTCTAACCACCAGTGGCACTATATCCATATTGCAGGTTAAACATTTTGCTCTTTCATTTATTTTCGAGCCAGCTTTGGCATCAGTCTCCTTAAAAATTTCCCATAGAAAAAATCGCAACGGAGCAAATAGAGAGAGCGGGTCGGCCACTACAAATCGCCTTTAATTGATATGAAGCGCTCTGGGATGTCTTCCCTCAAAACAGCCATCGATGCTCTTGAAGTGTGTGCCGTTGCACCATCCTGTTTGACCCGAATGTTCCTTCCGATGTCCAACTCATCTAGCCGTGAAAAAACGTTCCTGTAACATGTTTACATACCGGTCCTAATTCATTGTCCCTGTGACTTCATTTTCTTCAAAGAATCAGGGACCAATAATTCCACACCACGCTGTCATTTTAGGTGAATGCAAAGGTATTTGATGCAAGTCTCGAGGATTGGTGTCAGCCCAGTAGCGCATGTTTTTTTTTTTTTCGTTTGTCGATAGATCCACGCAAATGAAAATGCGTCCTCAGGAAAGACTTCGAGAAGACGCTCACACGCGTTCATCTGAGAATTGAAGCCACGTTCAGAAATTTCCCATCTTGTAACTGCCTGGCCGCAGGACATTCGCCATAGCGAATATTCGCGCAGCAGCGAATGGCGAAATATACCGAGCGAACCGCGCGGGCGACTGGCGGCGCGGCGGCTGAGTGAAACAAAGGCATGAATCAGTAATCAGTACGGCGCCAGCCACGAAGTCGTGCGTCAGTCGCGAAAACTGCTGTGATCAAACGAGCTTAGTTGTTTTCGCCGCGAGGCTTTTATTACTGAAATACTTGTTGGGCCAGCTATTTGGAAGTCTGACCACCCACAATACTCAAATAAATCACATAATTATTGTAAAGTATTTTAATTTCATGAAATACAGCAGACGCTCGATAAGGTAAACACGGGATAATGAAAACTTGCGCTAATGTAAACATAAACTTCGTTCTAAAGGATCAAACGGAACGCGCGATAACGTAAACAATGTGTACGCTCGATAACGTAAAAAACTGTCGGCGCACGAAAACAGCGCGACGGTAAAATGCTGAAGCCTCGAGGATTTATGTCGGGCGTCGGGGAGTCCCCGATTTATGATGTAGAGTGTAGGGGATTCACCTCTGCGATAAAATACGACAAACTCGGTCAGTCGTATGATCGTTTAGGATACGTTTATACGTACGTATATATTTCATTTTTGAACTTAAGTGAATACATTGCACGCGTTAATATATTTTACAACTATGGCATCCACATCCTATAAAAGAAAGTGTTTAAAGTTGAGTGAGAAAGTGAAAATCATAGACGAAGTTGCACTAGGTGCGGGAGTGACACAGTTAGCCAAAAATATGGAGTATCGAAAGCAACAATCTGTAAAATTAAGCGTAGGTATGAAAACTCAAATTTTTGAAAGAACGTGCAATACATTTGGAGGTCCGGGAAAAAGAAAAACTTTAAAAAATGCGAAGGCACCTAAAATGGAAAATTCCCTGTATAAGTGATTTTTAAAACAACGGGAAAATCATGTTCCAGTTAGTGGCGAAGTACTTAAACAGAGAGCGAGACTGTTAAATGAAAAACTGAAAGAAATTGAAAATTTCCTAGCTAGTGATGGCTGGATACAACGATTCAAAACAAGATATGGAATTCGACTGCTGTCTATACCTGGTGAAAAATTATCAGCACAGCCACAATTAGTGCAACCATTCAAAGAAAAATTGATGAAAACAATTACCGAGCTAGATTTAAGAATGGAACAAATTTACAACGCAGATGAAAGTGGCCTTTATTGGAAAATGTTACCAGAGAAAACCTATGCTGCATCCTTTGAAAAATCTGCCCCGGGAAGAATGCCGGAGGAACAACGAATAACGTTTCTAGCCTGCACTAATGCTAATGGTTCACACAAAATAAAGCCACTGGTAATTGGGAAAGCATTAAAATAATGTTAATATCCCTGTTGATTATGACTGTTCAAAAACCGCTTGGATGACTAGCAGTATATTCCTGAAATGGTTCCACAGGTGCTTTGTCCCTCAGGTATGACAATCAATTATCACAAATGCTCTATTCATAATTTGAAGATGTGTTTTCAATTTGTAGGTGAAAGGTTTCCTAAAACAACAGAAGCTTCCAATAAAAGCGTTGTTACTATTGGATAATGCACCAAGTCATCCTCCCGAGCCACAACCGAGGAGCAGGGATGGGTCAATTTTCGTCATGTACATGCCGCTCAACGTAAAACCGTTAATTCAACCGATGGACCAGAATATAATAAGACTCATCAAACTATACTATAGGAAGTTTCTACTTTGGTCTGTCTTATCAAAGAATCCTGAAAACTTATCTGAGGCTTTAAAAAAAGTAACATTACGAGAAGCTGTTTTAGATTTACATATGGCCTGGAATGAACTTAACCAGCAAACTATTCAAAAATGTTGGAACAATCTCTTTTGTACCAATAATGAAGATGATGGAGAAGACGATGTCCCCTTAAGCGTAATTAGAGAACGTTTGCGATCCAATAATGATAATGTTATTAGTGTGTCATTGGATGTTGTTGATTTATTGAAAACAGTGAATCCCAACATTGTTTGTACTCCTGCTGATATTAATTTATGGAACGAAGATAAGCAGACGAATGATGCTGATAAGGAGGAGGATATGGACAGTGAGGATGGTGAGAACGATCCCATTGAAGTCAGAAGTGTAGTGACTGACGCGCAAGCTATACAAGTTTTTAACCAAGCTTTAGATTGGGCTGAAAGAAAAGAAGTTTCATACACGGATATTTTAGTTCTTCGTAAATTACGGGCGCAGGCATTGGAAGACAATGCTAAGCGCAAATTTACGCAGACAAAAATTGTGAATTATTTTTCTTCTAATTAAAAAAATACTTATCGCTGTTAGAATATTATATGTTATAAATAGTATGTATTAAACGTTTCTTTTAATAAATCAAATATTATATAAAACGCTAATGTAAACATTTCGATAATGTGAACCACACTTGGATTAAATTAGTTTACATTATCGAGCGTCTGCTGTATTAATATAGAAAAAATTTAGTTACGAAAAAATTCCGTTTGCCGTTTGCTTTTTGGGGAAAGTTGTTCATATTGATCGGTACTATCATTTCCAAAAATATGCCCAGCTAATTAAATGTCTTCCTTTATACAGATAGGTACATACCTTAATGTCAAAAACAATTTTCAGCGGCTCTTAAAATTCTATCTGCATTGACTTTTTTTTCAATTCTGGTTGAATATTAGAATATAATCGAAGGTTTCGATACTCATTCTGGTCTACTCGAAAAAAAATCCTGGATACATTCTCTATTTCTCGTACTTCTTGTGGAATTCTCCATCTCTACCCTGATGCCTGTTCAAATCATATATCGAGATAACGTTGATTTCTCTCTCGGCCTATACTGGTCGCGGAGGCGAACGTGACTGCCGGTGGCCGGCATATTGTGCCGCGCGGATGGTCGCCCCGCGCCCCGCATTGTCGTTCGCGTCGCCCATCACGGTGGCCAAACCGTAAGGATGGAAATGAAGATCATCATGAAGAATCCTCCTCACAGAACAATCGGAGAGTCCAAGAGCAGACGCATAATTGCGCGCAGAACGCCGTGGTGATCGCAACATTGAAACTAATAAATTGTTTTAGATCACAGATAAAAATAAATGCAAGAATTCGGCAGTATTCTGAATTGTCATAATTTTTTTGTAGATACAATGTGGCAAGGTAGCATTTTTTGGTAATAAGCATTATTTTTTTGTGTGTTGCATATGCATACATGTTATTGAATTAATTTAAACAAAAAGCAGTTTTTAACTATGATACTTTTTTGTAGGATGACAAGATAGATTCCGAGGTGAAAGCTTTGTTAGGAAAATACAATAGCTATAGATAGTTTAAGGTACAACTTATTTATTAGTGTACTAATTGTTGGGTACTATTTTATGATGTGTTTTATAAAGTATATTCAGATAAGAGATAGACCGGACATAAACAAGGCCACGTGATCATCGAACGCTGTAACATTCGGCAGGGACGTATTAAGAGTCACGCATTACATATTTTAGATAGTAGATGCTGCTTTGCGTAACTTTGTAGTAAATTAGCACAATTCGATGTGTATACGATTGGTGATGGATATAGGATCATGTGGGGGTGGGGTAAGAAATATATAATGATGTAAATATACATAAGGGTTTCAAAATTTTCGCTTCGATTTCCAGCTTCGGATGCCGCCTGATGTTCGGTGAAATACAGTCGAATACAATCTCAAAATGGCGTTTAAATTAGCCTAAATTAAAAATAATCGTATATCTCTTAAAATTGCTTTTAGAATATTGATTAGTATATTTTTTGATTTCTAGGTAAATATGTAACCAAATTAAAACGTTCAAAACGTAAAAAAATGTGCATGGTTGAACATTGTCAGAAAGTAGATTCTTGAATAGGTTTTGCCAAAATGGGTTCAAAAATGTCAATAATTAATTAAAAAATACAGTAGCTTTATAATTACTTATAACTTACCGAATTTGATGAACGACATCTTTTATTGGAAAGATGAGCTTGATGAGCTTTCATCATCGCTACTGCCTGAAGCACCAATGTCAATAATGAATGGCTCGACTTGTTCCTCTAAAATATTGTCCAGTTCCCACATTCTCTTTTCAACTTTGTCTTTCACGTGCTTAATACAGTTTTCCCATTTTTGCGCTGTTATTAATTCTAGTGCTTCTTTGAAAAGTCCTTTGAGGTCACAAAATTTAAAAGTTGTATTGTGCTTAGCTATATAATTTTTAACCTCTGCCCATATGAGCTCAATGGGATTGAGCTCGCAATGGTATGGAGGTAAACGGAGCACAGTTTTATTTTGACTTGCTGCCATTTCGTCAATGGCGTATTTTTGATATTCCGCCTTGTGATCCTTTACAATTCTTAATAATTGTACTTTTAGCATTGCTTCTTCAAAGTTGATATTTTTCGAGCGGAGCCAATTTTGAACATCAACTTTCCTTGAAGCCGTTGTTGGGACCTTCTCCATTCTTCGAGAATGATAAGCATTATCCAACACAATTACTGCGTTTTCCTCTAAGTTCGGTAAAATTTTTGAAAACCACTGTTCAAACGATTCGCCATTCATTTCCTCGTGATAATCTCCAGTTTCTTAGACTCAAAGCACCACAGACCGTCAACAACAAATCCATCCTCACTGCCAATATGGCAGATAATGAGTCTTTTCCCTTTACCTGGAAATCGAAGTACTAACTGGTGTAGATTTATTTCAATAAGCGCACCTTTTTCAAATGTTTTCATCACATTCAGCGAAAAAACATTGAGACATGAGTATCTGATTGCTATAATTGGGATTATTTAGTCACATTGAAAGAAAGAATATTGAACGTCGTATGATTACTCAGCGCTTCACAATTTAATTTAAAGTTATAAACCTTTAAAAAATGAATGATCAGGAACCTGAAATACGCGCATATATTAATATTAACAAATTATAACTTTATAAACCTTAAAGTATGAATTAAAATGATTAGAAATATTAGGAACGGTACACAATATAAAACTTAGTAACTTTTTTAAGTTTATAATATTCGACATATTTTAAGATTATATTAAAAAATTAAAAACACATAAAAACATGGCTTAAAAAAGTTCTAACAAATGAAAATGACAATAAAACATCCACGCATTTTATCAAAAGTTATAAAAGTTTTGTTACTTGTAAATGTTTTATCTGCCCCCTGGAATTAATGTTTAGAACCTTGTTCCCAAGGTTTGAAAAACATCCGATTGTTGTCTATTACTCGTATTTACCTGCTGGATTTTTTAATCCGGTGGACAGTCCATCTAGAAAGGCCCTCCTGGATGAAGTTACAGAATCATCAACCCATACTTTACTTGTAGTGTGTCCTGCGTTTACCCACGTTTCATCAAGGTAATAAATCTTTCTGTTTTGATTTCTATATTTCCCAATTTTTGTTAAATAATCCCTCCTCCATAGCACAATTTCTTCTCTATCCAGTAGTAAACTATTACGTCCCCGTTTTTTCCATTTGAAATTTAAATGCTTCAGTAACGCATGGAAAGTTTATCGTTTGAAATTTGGCAACGTTGTATCTCCATTTACCTCCTGCAGTACTTTATCTATAGTAGGTATTTCATTCCTAAAGAAGAATTCATGCACTTTCCTCCTAATCGTATGCTTATCAGCTTCATCCAATGATTTAACAATACTTTTGCGATGTTTACTGGTCATTGGCGCAGAAAAGGTGTGATTTTTTTTGTATTGTCTTAACACATTAAACACTGATGCGCGACACACCCCAACTTTGTGAGAAACCTTCACAACAATTTCTTTGATGGTTGATGCCTCGTTCTCCTCGCGCTGGATCTTATATATATATTCAAAATGACCTCTTTCATTTCTGCACTCAGGTGTCTTTTTTTAGAGCGTTTCCTAGGTGGACTACAGGAGCTTACAACTTCATCGGCAGTATCTGTACTACTGGGCATTTTGCGCAAGCAGTTGATAACATTAACAATCAATAACAAGGTATAACAATAACAACGACAAACTCAACAACTTAATAAGATAACAAACGAAAACGTCCAAAGAAATTTCAAATTGCAATAATGCACACGACATACGTAACACGTCTGAACCTGAATGTGACTCTGCCTTGATACGACTGCTCTGCCGCTCGGCATAGGCATTTAATTGCGAATTGACCAATGAGGGCTCCTGTTTTACGTCGAGACGGCGGCGTTAGCGTGAAAATCACCCGAACCTTTTGTTTACATCCGGTCTATCTCTTATCTGAATATACTGTAGATATATTTATTTTCTTACTTAGCCCCACTTTTTATATTTATGACACGTGCTGTTATTACTATAGTTTTATCTGGTGTTTTAACGGTGTTATATTTACAATTGTGGTTGAAATGAGAATATGTTTCTAGCATGTGTTGTTTTTTTAACTTAATTAGCTATTTGAATGTCTAGGTTTTTGGGAAAATTTCTCATCGTTTCTTAATTCTCTGAAATTTGAGTAATTACTTTTTCTAAACATGCTGTTTAAGAATTAATATATGTAAAACGTTTTGATTTCATTTTAGTCAATATACAGGGTGTTCGCAAAGTTGAACAACTATGCAGGGGCGGCTGGCCCTTAAGTGCTGCAGACCTGCAGAACTGCCAAAACTTTTGTCTTAACAGAAAAAAGCAGTAGTAATTTGATCATTATTTATTTTCCATGTTATCACACAAACAGAAACAATACCGGCAACGCTGCCCCCGCAAGACACGGCGTCGAGTGTGTTTTGTATTGCGAAAGCATTATAATCGACCAATTGTGTACTTGTCATTTTCGTCACTACCGCAGCGTAACATTATTCATGGGCCACTTGAAAAGGGTCTGTGCACTACTTCGACACAAGCCGCACGCGCTTGCTTTTGTCTCTCTACAAAATCAAATGCGCGATTAAGGCCCGTATCGTCAGTCGTCCCTACAATTGTAGGGCGCCTTTATTTATGGCCTTGATTGTCATAGTTTTCTACTTCTCCGTGTCAGCGCTCTATTTTGAGGTTATGTCACAAACATCAATTTGCATCAAATTGTGCTTGGTTTTGAGTTATATCATGTTTTATCAGCCTGAAATTTCCTACAATTTAAAAGGAAAACAAATCTTCACAATAGGAGAGCGCTGACGTTGACACGGGACAAGTGTAATCTAGAAATTTGTGAAGGAGAGAAAGGAGTATGACAATCAAGGAGGCCATAAACGCGTCCTACAATTGTAGGGTCGACTGACGATACGGGCCTTAAGCATAAGCATGTGCTGCACGTTATACAGATCCGTACAGATCTAATGCGAAGTACGATATCTGATTGGTAGGTCGGTGCTCGGTATAAAATTTTGCGGAGCATTTGAATTGACGCTACGGGGTCACGATGAAACCGAGAGCTCCCAAAACCCGGGATATTTCGTGGACTGATTAATTTTTCTGCTGAGCTTGATACAACCTTAAGGCAACACATAAAAAATGCTTCAATATTTAAAGGAACTTCGAAAGAAATACAAAACGATCTACTGGATTGTATTCTTGAAGTTTGTCATGAAGAATTAATAAAACATATTAACAGAGCCTCGTATTTGGCGATAATAGCATATGAAACAACGGACATTTCGGGGAAACCCAATTGGTAACAATCTTCACATACGTATTTAACGGCGAACCAGTAGAACGTTTTTGGAATTATATGAATCCCGAAAAATGTGAAGCTGATACTCTCACAAGACATATTTTAAGCGTTGTAGATCCATTAATAGGAAATTTCCCTAACAAACTGATTTCACAAAGCTATGATGAAGCCGCAGTAATGAGCGGACATAATGCTGGAGTACAGGCAAAAATTAAACAAAGATATCCATTTGCTCACTATGTGCATCTCCATGCGGATCAGTTAAACCGGATTATGTCCCAAGCTGCTTCCGCAAATGCTCAAGTTCGGGTGTTTTTTGGGGATTTGAAAGATATTCCGGGATTTTTTAATAATTCTCCTCAACGCGTAGAGGTACTGAACAGAATTGTGGGGAAAATTCCCCAAGGAGCAACAACTAGTTGGAATTTTAATATTCGAACAATAAACGTAGTGTTTGAGAACAGAGAATCACTCATTGAATGCAAGTAAGAAATAGAAGAAAATTTCACTAATGTAACCGTTTGCAAGGCAGCTTGCGGTATTCGCCGTATGTTAAACGATTCTGTTTTCGTGTTTTGGTTGACATTTTTTCATCATGTCATGCCTCTCGTCGACATCTTGTTCAACCAGTTGCAGAAGAGAAAAACCGAGCCAGCGCAAATTAAAACGATATCGATAATTTTTAAAAATGTATTGTCGATGTGGGAAATAAAATTGATGACATAATAAATGAAGCCAAAAGTATTTGCACTGAACTCCAAGGCAACAAAAGGAGACGACGTAATAATAGCAGTCATGATCACCGATTTGCCGCATTAGAAGTATGCGACAATATAGTTAATTCTGCAAATGACAGATTTCAATTCAAAGATCAATTGGTAGCCGCATCTCTTTTTTCCCCGAACACTTTGGAGAATACTGTGATAAGTCTCCTGATGACAAGTTGGAAACTACCTGCTTGGCTTATCCCGAATTAGAAAAAAGTCGTTTAAAGACAGAGTTGTCCGTTATTTATGCACGGAATGATTGCCGAGATTTACATGATACATGATACAAAATAGTTTGGAGGAAACACTAAAAGAAACAAAAAAGCTATTAGAAATTATTGTTACAACTCCTATGCCAACATCAGAGGCTGAGCGAAATTTCTCTTTTCTTCGAAATACTATGACCCAGGATCGCCTTACAGCGTTGTCGATGCTGTCCATTGAAAAGGAATTTATTTCGACCATGGGAGATTTCAACGGGAAGGTGATCGACAAAATTTGCTGCCAAGAAGGACGGCAGGATCGAACTGACATAAAAAATAGGTAAGTTCGGATTTGCAGAACACCTGTTTTATTTTGCCACGAGCCGCCACTGCAACTATGCTTGATATAACAAAGCTAGTGTGTGGTGAAACGTGAGCGAACAAGTAAAAAAAATGAAAAATTACTAACTGTTCAATTGAATTGAAATTCCAAATACGGCTCTGTCGTAAAATCCGTATTTACATCGTAGTCGTACGTCGTATAACTGTGCGCTGGTTCAGGTTTGATTGAGTTTGCGGAGCCCAAATCTCTGTTCTCTAAAGACATTGGTGTATATGCTACTAAGAAAATACGCTTATTTTCTCAAGATCTACACGTCGTGTAAAAGAAAACCCCAACTTTGCGGAGACCCTGTATATATTTTTTTTACCACGATATTTGACCATTCGGACATATATTTAAGTCAACCAGCTGAATAGCAATACATCATAAAATGCTTTTGGTTTTTGTTAATCGATGTTTGAAGAATATTAGGAACTTTGGCAACATTAAAATTTTCTATTTCTTACCTCCCACGCCCACTGGCAGTTAGAATACGTTAATCAATACTTATATCAAATTATCCAATCTCATTACCTAAGTTCATGATAAAAAATACAATTTTGATTTTGAATCGTGTATCGATTTTTTAGTGCTTTGGTGTTGTCCTCTGTGGAATTGAAAAATGTTGTCATATTTTGATTTGTTTTTTGAAATCGTGTTTAATTGCTATTTATATTATAATTTCTATTGCGATCCTCGAATATTTTTTAGACTAAATGGGAAATGCGAATTTTGTATTATCTTATTGTCAGTTAGATTAATGATTAGACTTTATGCGGCAAAAATATTTAAAATGAGCATTTGATTTTTTAGCATATAGTACATAATATCAAATGTATTCAAGTAAAATACGGAAAAGTATGATAACATACGTTTTTTTTCATTAAACGTTCTATAATAGATGCTGTAGTCTAATCTGTATTTCTGACATTATATTGTTAGAAACTATATCTTTCGAGTGGAAGTGTAGAATTAGGTATAGTATAGTTGGTGGAAAGAATGACGTATAGAGTGGTTATATATTTGGTTATTTTAGAAAATATACGTATATCAAAAACAAAATGGCTTCAACATCCTTCTTTATCCCCAACAGTCGTCTCTACAGTGCACCCAATACATTGCAGCCAAAGCAACGATCCTACAAGGTTCCTCTAAATAATTTGTTTTTTTTTTGTTACTTGCTGTTCCCTACTGAGCGGAGCCGTGACAAATGCTTGTTGCGGAAGTTGTATTCGGTATACAATTTCGTCCCGTTCAAATGATTATATACGCGTTAAGGAATACCTCGGTAACGATTGCAGGGTAGCGGTACAACTCCGCCAACGGGCCAATTTAGGTCGATTTTACATCGTTAACACGCAAAAAGAAGATGAGAGGCAACGACCAGTCGACCGAGGCGGTATCACCAGCTAGCTTCTTTCAGGGTTTCGTAAATGTCTGTTTTCACACCTAAGGTACGCAGTCGGTTATCTTCCCCAACAAATAAATTAATGATGGATCCCTCGAGTACTAAGAATTCCGGTCGTAAACTCACTCCACTTTCGGAATGTCGGGGTGGAAGGTGGACTCGAGGAAACAACTCTGATGATAAAATTTGTTTCACGAACATCTGCGGGATTAACAGCAACATTGATGCTGTTCATCACTATCTGCAATCCAATTGTCCCGCCATGCTTTTCTTGGCGGAGACAAAAATCTCAGAGTATGTACCGAATCATCCGCTGTGGCAGCAGAAACTCGCCCAGGCCGCAAAATTTGGCATTTCAGACATGCCGACTAGGAGGGGCTCAGAGACTTCTTTTCCACTTTTCCTTGGGAAGATGTTTGTTTCGCTGACGCGGATTCGTCGGCTAAGTGTTCGTGGATAACCGAAATTATCCACCATCTGATGGATGAATACATCCCTTACAGTGAAAGCGCCTAAACCAGGGTCCAACGGCTAGTACAACAAATCGTGCGACACTGCTCGTCAGCAGATCAAGGCACACGAACCTTCTTACAAAACCATACTGTGGAGAACAGACAAGCCGACGTCATGCCAAAGACTTGCACGATATAACAGTCAGGCACATGATAATGCCGTAGCGCAATGGCAGTCGGCCATTCTGGACGATGGTCAAGCAGATTGAGAGTAGCCTTCCACCACTGACGTGTGAGGGTTGAACGTTTGTAACAGACTTAAGGGCTAAGGTGGAAGTGCTTGCCAAGATCTTGCCCAACGCCTAAATGCCGTCGATTCAAAGGGGGAAGTAACATTCGTGCATAATACCGTAAGATAGGTGCTCTTGTCTCTCGACATCAACAAAGCTTCTGGTCCGGACTTGATCCTGCCGTTGTACTGAAGCGGTGTGCAGCGGAGCTTGCTGCAGTCCTTTCGCGTCTCTACCAGTTATCTTTCGAACCCGGAATCTTCTCAGTAAACTGGGGGGAATTGGAAATGTCCAACCCATCCCAAAAAAGGATATAAGACCGACCCTTACAACAACAGGCATATGGCTCTGCTTTCTGTTGTAAGAAAGGTGATGGAGATGTGCTTGATTAGAGACACAATGGTGGAGTAAACTCATCCTATCTTATGGTGAGGTTCATGTCATCGCTCTTGATATCACGAAAGCGTTCAATCAGCAGTGGCACGCTGCCCTTTTATGCAAACTTTTATCCTATGGCCTCCCAGAGAAGCTTAGCCGATGGGTGGCTGACTTTCTCTCTGGTCGCAAGATAACCGTCCTAATTGACGCGTTCTCCGCTTCATCCCACAACCTCAATGCGTGTGTTCCCCTTTGGCCGGTCTTGGCCCCGACACTGTTCCTGTTATATATCAACGACCTCCTTTCCTGTACGATCAACCCAATCCACAGTTTAATGCTTCCAAAACACAGTACTCTACCTTGACGAACAAAAAGCGTCCTATCGCTCATCCGGTTTCATTGGATGGCCGAATTCTGTCAAAGAGCCGTTCATTTCAACTGGTCGGAGTCCAAATCACCGAGGACTTGATCTGGCACGAATACATGTCGTCACTAGCGGCATATGCTGGGAAAAAGCTAGGCTATTTGTTTACTGCTAAGAAGTACTTTTCTCTGCATGCCCTCCTCACTCTATACAAGGGCCAGATAAGACCTAGTATAGCTCACACGTTTGGGGTGTTACCGCCCCGACTACATTATTTATGCTCGATGCTGTCCAGAGGATGTCCGACTGATCGATGACTGTTCTCTAACAGACAGTCTCGGGACCCTTGCGCACCGGCGGACCGTCAGCGATCTAGATCTCTTCTACCGCTACACCAATGGACTTTGCTCCTCAGGGCTCGCCTTCATGATGCCGCCGCGCAATGTGCCTGCCATAGGGACCCTGACTCTCCTCCCATCCCAACCGTGTTGAACTTCCTACAACCAGAACTGGCCGATACGACCGCTCCTTTGTCCCGAGGGTGTCGAGATTGCGGAACAATCTACAAGAGGAAGCTTTTCCCAGTTCTACTAACCTTAGGCAGTTCCAAAATCGCATTAACAAAAATTCTTCGGGATCCTCATAGCAGCCGCGGTGTCCTCACATTTAGGCATCTGCCTGTGCGGCTGCTTCGGTATAAAAAATGTTAGGCATCCTGTTTATGGGTTTGAAATTATAACCAAAAAATTATAGTAAAATTCAGGTATATCAATAAAAAAATATGGTTGACGATGGTTCTTTCTTCATTTATTACTTTATAAGCAAAATAATTTACAAAATATCCAAACTCTCACTTGTGGGGTATTAAAAACAAAATTAACATTTGCAAACATCTATCTCTTTTATCCCTTTATCTGAATCGGTTGCATAATTATTAACAGTGTAGAGTTATAAAACTTTTTAAATGATAAACCTCAAACTGCCTAAGATTAACCGTACAATAAATAATGACAGAGTTTACTGAATAATATGTAGTTTTACAAAAACTCGCTTGAAAACTTATTTAAAAAAGCACGCTATATTTAATGGAGACTAGTATGTTTGGTAAAATAACAAATTTCTCAATAAATAAGCTAATATACAAAACAAATGGTCAATATTTTTCATTATACATACCAAATATGAAAAATTCTACATTGCAAGTATTCCTTTTATGATAATATTTTTGTCCTTAGTAGATACGTGTCAAAAACGATCTGTGTAACCAAGGGTTGTTAACTTCTGGCGAAGGACTTCCAGGACTTCCAGAAAAAAACCACAAAAGTCGATAAATGACTTAGTACTATGTTTCATTATAGAACTTCTTATTATTTGGTGTGTATCAAACAAATATCACAAAAAACAACACAAGCTTTCTGATCGCTACATTTCCACGTTCAGGACTTTAAATCTACATTTTTATGAGTAAATGCACATATCTCTGCAACGCACTTGCGTTTTTCATTGAAAAATTGCACGAGATTCGTGATATTTAAATTGGAATGAGCGTTTAATATCCTTAAGTTATAAAATCACTAAATGAACTGTAGTATAATGTCTCGAAATCTATCACGAAACAATCTCAAAAACCTCACTCTCTTCCATCCGAGTATTTTTTTATATTATAGGTACGCCAGTCAACTAGTGTTAAAAAAAATCATGTTTTTTGTATACAGGGCATTACTTAATAACACCGTAAATACAAGGGCGCATTCCTGAACCACATTTAAGTAGAAAAGTTCATAGAAACATCTGTCCTAAAATGCATGGTATTCAAAACCAAGGTGTCAACCTTTAACCTTTAAAATAATGTTTTTTATTAATATTTTAAAGATTCTTGTGCTCATTTTGTTGAATTTGGCAGTATTTATTGTTCATTGCAATAAGAAGATAAAATAGCACTAACTAGAAAATAATTATGAATTCCAGTGGCGTCTCACGAGCAACATGGGCAAAAAAATATTATATATATATATGAGCAGTAGTCATTGCCAAAGCCAACGACCAGTTAGGCGCAAAATACAATTAATTGTTAATTGGGAAATTGGCAAATTTTTAGGCTTAAGTTGACTCTTTTGACGATAAAATCAAGCTTTCGCCATTCTCTATGGAGCCTTCATCAGGATTCTGAAAACACAATTGTGATGCTAGCAAAGAAAACAGGACAGATTTAAATTGTCAAACAACTTACTCGTCGTTGAGGTTGCAGCCACAAGGTGTTTCAAAACGAACGTAAAGAAGATAGAACTTGTAATCAGTATAAAAACAAAAGGTCGGGGACATTGGGCTTGTTGAAAACGACAGATACCTTCGTTACATGTTAAAAATATTAATCCACCCGAACAAATTAAAAATTACTGCATTCCGATTTTTTCACTAAAATGTCTTCTCACGTGTAACTCAACAATTTCAACTTGATAGCTTGACTCGTTCAGTAAAATTGAGTGTATTTTCAACAAGTTTTTCCGTCTTTTGTACATGTTTAGACATCAGCCAAAGCGATTTCTTGCAATTAAAACACCCGTTGACTGGCGTTTAGAGCAATTCAGATATTGTCTAGGACCCTAAAGACTACCAAATGTCTTCTCCTACAAAATTTCTTAGTTTCTAATTACGATAGTGACAAACAGGTGAGAGACCCTTGTTCTAACAAATCGTACTTAGAAACTAAAGAAATGATAAGACATAAAGCGATCTATGAAACCCCAGACTATTTTTTTATCATATAAACTTAATTTTTCTAAGTCCAGTGTTACGCCCCACTTTCCAATCTTGATGATTGTATGAAGTATAAAGCGTCTTCACTGGTACAACAAATATAAAATATGCTAGATCAACGAAAGTATGATGTGACCAAATTTTTTTATTTGTTTTCAGCCACTTTTGGGAATAACCTAAATGCTAATAACACGCTGGTATAGCCACGAATAAGGGAATATTATTATACATTATTTTTATTTCTTTAGATATTCTAGTTTCGATCACATACCATCTCGAAAAACGTACTAAATTCGAATTTCACTCTAATTTTCGGCTGCCAATTCTTTCGAACACAATATAAAATCAAGTAGCCAAATTATTAAATGTTTTTTGAAAAGATAATTACGGAATTCATATTCGTCTGATAAATCAATCTCAGGTTTTACCTGTTATTGCCAACAGTTGTTGCAGTTTGCAATGAAATCAGAAATTCCACAAAAATGCTTTGGCACCATCTAGTACGCACCTTGATACATTTAGAATACATTTTTCGAAAAATTAAAGGTAGTCTTGCCGAAATTTTTGCATATCGAAAACGTAACAATAAGTTTTCCATTGGAAGATACCTAACTAATTTTTGGAAAAATGATTTCTAAGCCCCATCCAAGTCCAAGATAGATTGTATTATAATAGAGTTATAATTTTTGAGAAGAATTACAGTTCATTGCTCAACGAAATCTCCCGATCATCTTTTCGTTTCTTTTTACTTACGAAGTAAAATGAAAGTTAGGTCAATCGTTCTAGAAACAAATAGAAGATCTAGAGATAATAATATAAAAGTACTTCTCACAAAACATATGGAAAATAGGTACCAGAGTCCAGTTCTATAAAAATTCAGTGAGATATATTTCTCGCCTGCCTGAGCAAAAGTTAAGTAATCCTGTGATTAGTTTCTGAGAAATAGGGGGACGGAGTTTACCGCTTTGCAAAAATGAATGTGCACATCAAATCAATTTTTAAATTTCCTCGAGAAAACTATTGAAATGTAGGAAACCTTTAGAAAATAACTGGTGGTCTTATTAATAGACATCGTCCTCCAACTATTATTTATAGGAGGTACATATGCTGCAGGCGATTCAGTTATTAGCAACGGTGCAAAGGAACTTACTCAAGTTTAAGACACCCAATAAAGTATCGACTAATTGGATATCTTATCGACAAGCTAATGAATTAATTATGCAATAATAATCAATGTGCATTATTATTTTTCGATAATGTCGTTGTTTCTTCACCATTTCTGAGAAACTAATCATAGCATTCCTCTGGTTACATGGACGCTTTTGTTCGGAACGACAAGACATATATCATTCCTGAATTTTTAGAGAAATCAACTGGGACCATTTTCCATGTTTTGTTCCCGGTCCTTTGACGGTTGCGCACCATTTGAAAATCGTTGCTAGAACACGGCTTATGCCATATTCTGTCCTGGATTTGGATAGCGCGATTTTTGGGGTATAAAATTGTTCAAAAAAGTTTGTGCGTAAATGGTCGACGTGACACAACGATGGAAGTTTTCAACTTTTCAAAATGGAAGCACCACATTCAAGTACAATATAACAACGCCGTCTTTTTAGGGTTTATTTTCAAATGTTACCTATCTATATAAAGGTTTTTGTTTTTCACGCATATTACACTCTTTCGCGATAGTTAATAAATAGTACAATGCCAAATAAATTGAATGAACATAACAGGAAATTTAATTATGAATACCTTGTTTTTTCGCAGTATCACCCAGTAAGTGAAAACTGAAAGAGAAAAAACTTCGACAACATAAACTATAACTTGAAGAGACCCAAGGGTAGTTCAACTCTAACAAAGCCAATAGACATGTCTTTACATTAGTTTTTCCAGAATTTTTCCAATGATGGTCAATTTTTCAGACATACGTTCCTGCATAATGTGATAAGGGAAAAACAAGTATTTTCACAGCAAGCGAATATAATCTTAATTTCTTTTATATTTAATATCTTCATTTACTGGACTAATATGGGATTTGTAGATATTAGAGAAATATGTAATTTTCGTAAAAACCTTGCATATCATTTTTTTTAAAAGTGGAGATACACATTTGCTTTCTGTTGTCAATGGTTATGCTCAAGCAACACAGATATTTTTCAAACATCGACAAATAACTTATCCAACTGCTGCAATCTAGCTCAGATGCCATAACACTTTATTTAACTTAATAAATCCATTATTCAAATATAGTTTATACATGCTCATCCTAGCAAAAAAAAATCCAAAGAAAAACTAAGATTTCGATGATGCAAACCTTTGCAACGACCTTCAAGGTCAAGTGAATATTCTCAAATAAAACCCCCTTTTCCACATCAGAATCGAAGAGAGGAACAAATTTTATGTCGTAGCATCACCTTGGCCATGACTTTGATCATTCAAAGCCATTTCAAGGTCAAATCAAGATATTGAAAACAATTTCTTCTAGAAAAACTGTTCGACCCGCACAGTTGTGGGGATCAGCCGAAGATGACCTTAGGCATAACTTTGACCCTGACCTTCACAATCAAGTCGAAATTTAAAATTATACTGGAAATCAAAAAGCAGGAAAATTCATGTTCGAATGTGACATTGACCTCAAAGTCAAGGTCATATCAAGCATAAATGTTGTTTCAGGTCACATTAGGACGTAAAATTTCCTGAATTTTCCATTGTGGAAGCTTTGACTTGAGCTTAAATGTCATGGGCAAGGTCACCTTTAGATGATCTCCCCAAACCTCACAATAGTGTTGTCGAACATGTTTGCAAGAGTAAATTGTTTTCAGTGTCTAGATTTGATCTTAAAATGACCTTGAAATCAGTTATGGCCATAGACAAGCTCATGTTCGGCCGTAAAATTTACTCCTCTTTTCAATTCAGATGTAAAAAAGGACGGGTTACATTTGAAAGTGTTCACTTGTCCTTGAATGTTACAGTCAAGGTCATTACCAAGCTCACTATCATTTTGCCCCCTCAAAACACCATGTCTAAAGGTTCGTTTTTACATTATTTGTTCTTTTAACAACCCTTATAAGAAAAAATATATCTACAGCGAGATAAAGAAGCATTTGTTAACTTACTCATTGCCGTTTTCAGTATTTAATAAAAAAATTATCATTAAACATTTTTTATAGGCAACCTATCGCCGACATATTCTTAAACTTATTTCATTTTGTAAAAAATACTCTTTATCAGGCCGACATATCGGTGGAGGTCGAGCGTAATACGGATCTTTGACTGTTTAACACCATTCTCTGTCAACAAACTTAGACATAAACAAAAGATAGGCAACCATTGCGGCTCCCAAAAAGGCGCCATCTACGACACAATAGCGGGAAACAAAAATGAAATCAGAAATCTACGTAGAAAAGAGCTGCTACTGTTTCACAGATGGCGTTAGGACCTTCATTCTCTTCTTAACCCCAGTCTAATGCATATTTTGATTTGGTATCTTCAGGAGGAATTCGTTAATAGATGCCTGAAGATACCCTATTAAAATAGGCATTTAAGAGGTGCCACAAATTCGAGTTTTTAAAAACTACTGCTACTTAAAAGTAGAACCCCCATTTTTGACCCCGTAAATGAAAAAAGAGGAAAATTTTACGTTCAAGTATGGTCTTGACCCTGGGAGGTCGTGGTCAAGCTCAAACCCAGATATGGTGATATAACTTGACAACCAGTAATCGAATAGCGAAACTACAGACTCATTATTTTCATGAATTTTCTCCGGATTTATAATGGTTACCTTGAAACTGACACTAACCAAGATGATATTCAAGGTCATGAGAAGGTCAAGTCGATTTTGGTAGCCAGGGAACAAACCTGAAAGAACAGTAAAGTCAGTTTATATGGGAATTATACAGTTTTCTGGTTGATCAAGAAACTAATGTGAACTTGTGTTTGACCTTCCTGGTCAAGTCCAAAGTCAAGTTCCTAAAAAGGACAAGGACATATTCGAACATAAAATCTTCCCTTTTCCCCGTATCTGCGGTCAGAGGTATAGGGTCCCATAAAAAAGAGTTGACCTTCAAATGACCTTGAACGCCATGGTCAAGGTCAGATTTAAGGCTACCATTGGATATCCGGGGAAAATCATGAAAATTATGTCCCGATAGTTTCCCTATACGACTACTGGCTTTCAATTTATATCATCGTACCTGGATTTGGCTTTGACCATGACCTTTTAAAGGTCAAAATTTCAGAATATGCCATATTCGGACGTAAAATTTTCCGCTCTTCTCATTTACAAGGTCAAAAATGGGCGATTCCATTTAAAATCTCGACTTGTCCTTCAAATGACCTAGTAGGTTACGGTCTCCATCGAATGGCTGGAGAAAACTCCTATCAATAGAGGGGCTTAATTTTTTCCTACCATTATTAGTTCACAATTCCGGAACTTTTCTGACACCCTGTATATGGTTGCCTCTCTTTAGGTAGAATATGTTAATCAATGGCCACGGGTTTACTAGGACAGATAAAATGTTATTGGATCTATACCCATCATGCAAAAACTTCCTAGGACCTATAAGAACGTCTCCATATACTTTGTTTTGGTCACAACAACGTAGATTCTCTTATTTTCATCATTTCAGTGACTGAAGAAACTGAACCGAACAAACTATACGAGGGGCGGATGACATTTAATATTTGATGTTAAACGAAGGGTAGCATGCTGGCTATGTGCATGAGGAAATGCAACGCCGAGGTCCACAGTCTGCGTAGCGGGGCGTACCGCGTGGTCAGGAAGTGCCAGGTCAGCAGTACCGACACAACTTGCATTATCCGGTACGACCAGTAGAGTTTTGACATCTGTCGACGTGCTTTCGGAAGCGACGTTCTTTCTTCTTTGAATATAAACCTACAACAAGTGTAAATCGAATCAGAGTTCAGAGTGCATATAGTTACATTCACAAGTCCCTAAACTTTCTTGGATAGAATCATACCATAGCAATCGTAAGCAAAACGTAAAACTATTAATGGAATACCTATTTCAAATGAGCTTAATGTTAAAACAGGGTAGGGCCTCAGGGCAGTATATTAGGTCCCAAATTGTTTGTAATTTTTTTAAACGATATTGACACTGGTATGTAAAATCACGTAGTATGTAGATGGAACAGATTTGCTTATAAGTGCTACAGATCCAAAGATTGCATATTATGATAAGGGGGGATATGATGTGGAAAATGTACAAACCTAGTAACACTAAGACCTGTGCTATGTTTTTCGAACAACGCAATGTAGAGCAAATTGCAAGTACATTTAAAAATTATACAAAATATTACTAAATCTAGAGCCATATTCAATCACTAACTTTTTCAAGGAAGATTTGAATATCATGCTAAAGAGCAGGATTTTATTGTTACTTTTGTTTGGTTGATGCTATTTGTATCACAAATGGTTTACAGCTTTTGTATAGCATTTTGTATTTGCAAATAACGATTACTGCTATGATTATTAATTTAAACTCACCTCCTAATACCTAAAACGTAATCTTCTATATATTTGTTCCAATCTATTTTGGCAACATCAAAACAAAATACTTCTTTATCCACTTCGTTCAACGTTGAGACTAGATTCCTAACATTTTCATCATTGAACTGCCACTGTTGCGTGGTGAAATATTCTAAACAACTAGCTGCTTTTGTTAATTTGTTCTGGATTTTAACCATTCTGAAATAAAAAAGAGAAATAATTACTTTAAGTACTTAACTACACAGATTAAAAAAAATGGTTCGGGTCGCATAGACTTCATCAATGATCAACATATTCTCCACGAAGTTGCCCAACACTAATGTGTATCTGGACGATTACATACAATTTCCCACAGGAAGTTCACGGCGAAATATCTTTAAATTGTTGATTCTTTTGATATCATCAGGGAGGCACATGTAAATTTTCAAACCATTACGAATAATTAAGTATTTCACAAGTGTTGATTTAGATTCTACTAATTTAAGATCCTGTTTTCGTCTAATACCGTAACTTATATTTGATGTCTGAAATTTAGATTTATTTTTATAAATAAGATAAGAATAAGATTTACTTATATATTATACTCTAGGATTGCTTTTATTTATACATACAGGGTGACTTTGAAGTTGAGTCATTAATTTTCAGATAATGATTGTAGAAGGAAGATAAACCAAAATATGTGTGAAAAATAAAAGAAAAATTAAAAAAAAATGTTACCTTGTTTTATAAAGTATCCTCCCGACAAGTATTTCAGTGCGGACCTGTATTTGATCGGGCGGTCTTGGAGCACCGGCATGCGCTCCCCTGTGAGGTCTTAAGTCACCTGATTCACGAGCCCTTTGTACTACATTCAGCATTTTCGTAAACATGTGCCATTTTTTATTTCGTTTGAGCCACGCAACAAACACCACTATTCACTCACGCGTTACCGACTGACACATCGACTGAATACAACTGAATAAAATTGTACATGTACATGTACAGTAAAAACATCGTTTCAAATTCTTTCGCTTTTTTGTTTCCGATGCGATGAACGGATAAGGCGGATTATATCCGTTGTTGCCAAACACGAGCACATAATATTATTATTGAGACAGGGCGGTACTCAAACTTCTAAAGGGCTATAACTTTGTTACTTTAATTTTACCAGAAAAATGTTCAAGGAAAAAAACATTTCTTTTGATCAGATCTACTCACTGTTAAAATAAATGACTCAACTTCGAAGTCACCCTGTATATCTAATAGTTCGTTATACGAGAAACTTCGTTTGAATAATGTTGTGATGTGTGGTGGAACTCTTATAAGTTTATGGCTTAAAGGTCGAATGTGCACATCCATACTAAAAACGATTTTTTCTCTGAGGGATAAGGGCGTTGACCTGTGCAAAAATGTATGCATGACAATTAAATAGTGTTAGTTTACTAAATTCTCAAATTTCATCCACTTCAATATTTGGTAACTGGCTGAGACATGGTCAAATTTTTGTAATCCAAAATTACACCGAACACAATTATTTTGATAATGATTTTGGTAAAGCAATCTAAAGGTGGAAAATAGACGGTATCACAGTAATTTAGGACAGATACGACTAAACTCTCGCAGAGATTTTTACAAGGTTTAAAATTCCTGAGATACGTTCTTGGGACAGACACTTCACATGTTCAACAAACCTCGTTTTAAAGTCAAAGACTATTCCAAGTATTTTTGCAGACTCAGCAAGCTCCAAAACTTGATTGTTTATAGAAATCTTTAAGTGAGATGAAGCATCATTTTTCTTTTTTTCATAACAAAACAATAATATACTAAGTGACATATAAATCCGAACACCCAGTTTAAATGGTTTTATTTTAATAAAAGTTGGTGAATGTATTTATCTTACTGTAAATAACAAGTGAAAAAATTTTCAGCCTTATCAGTTGGACCTTCCGGTTTTTATACTGCTTTTTTTAATTCACTAACGCTCTAAAAATGAATATTTCAGCCGCAGTAAAGAATCAACGTTGGCGGATTTTGGTTCTTGACATCCTTTACGATCGGTTACGATGCCTAGAGTACGGAGACCTGTACGACTTCGTCAACTTAGTGAGTTTGATAGGGGCCGTATAGTGGGACTTCGGGAAGCTGGACTTTCTTTTCGGGCAATTGCAGTTAGAGTGCAAAGAAGTGTAGACACTGTGGTTAGGTGTTGTCAGGCATGGCTTCGAGAAGGCCGTACGCAAAGAGCAAGGGGCACTGGACGCCGTCGTAGAACAACAGACCGTGAAGATCGCCGCCTAAGATTATTGGCCTTAAGGGACCGTTTCTCCACTACCAGGTCCATTGCCAATGAATGGTTTGCAGAACACGGAAGACCTATTGGCATGTGAAGTGTTTACCGACGAATGAGAAGTTTTGGCTTGTTTTCATACCGGCCACACTGGGTCCTCCCTTTAACTCGAGAACACCGACGTAATCGCCTTGAGTGGTGCAGACAACGGTCACTCTGGGATCAGGAATGGGACAGTATTGTCTTTAGTGACGAGTCTCGATTTTGTTTAGGCATGCACGATGGTCGTGCCAGGGTTAGAAGGCGACGTGGTGAAAGGAGGAATCCACAGTTTTTTGTTGAAACACATGTTCATCACACTGTTGGAGTTATGGTTTGGGGTGCTATAGCTTATGGTTCCAGGTCACCTTTAATCTTCATCAGAGGTAACATGAACGCGCAGCGTTATATCCACGAAGTTCTAGAACCCCATCTTTTACCCTATCTTGACACCCTGGCAGATCCAACTTTCCAACAAGATAATGCCAGACCACATGTTGCAAGAGTCACAATAGACTTCTTTCAACATAATGATGTCACATTGTTACCATGGCCACCAAGATCTCCCGACTTATCCCCAATTGAGCACGTGTGGGATATGATGGGTAGGAGATTGCTCAATTTGCAACGTCCTCCTCAGACTCTAGAAGCACTTCGAGAGGAGTTGGTGGTTGCCTGGAATGAGATACCACAGGAGGACATTGACCACCTGATCAGAAGCATGCCTAGGCGCGTTGGAGAATGCGTAGCACATCAGGGTGCATCCACACATTATTAAAGGTCAAAGGGCTTTAAAGCAGTGCAATCATTTTGAAATTTTTATCATTTACTTATTATGCTTCATTAAGTACTTATACAGAATTTTATTAAAATAAAACCATTTAAACTGGGTGTTCGGATTTATATGTCACTTAGTATATTTCTGTTTTTCTGGATTTATTTTAAATTATGATTAAAAGAATGTTGTATCAAATTATTAATATCACTTTGTAAAATTTTTGTTGTACTTGCTGCCTCATTTGGATTAAAAGCATTAACTGGGTATCATCTGCAATTGAATAAGAGAGTTAATAACAATTTTGTTTAAATCAAAAATGTAAATTAGAAATAGTATAGGTCCTAATATAGAACCTTGAGGCACACCAGAAGATATCAACGATGTTAAGGACAATCTTTGGTTGCTTTCAGAAAAGATACTGCTAATTTATCAAGACCAATATATTATAACTAAGTTTCATTAGTAAAAGTTCATGGTTGTCAAATGCCGGGTAGTCATATCCTGAAGATTGAGGAGAGTGCAAATTGTTCCATAATTCTTTCTAAAGCCTGATTGGGTGTCGGGTATTTTATTGTATTTTTCAAGATATGTTCAAATTTGTAAATTAACTATTTTCTCCAACACTTTTGACAGACCGGATAATAGGCTGATCAAGGTCATCTGTAAAGCTCAGCAGGCGATCAAATATGTGAGGCTAGAGGAACATCCTAAAAGCTTAGCAGGATTATTGATGCCAAAAAAGTTAATAGGGACAGGTGTTGGCAACTTTTAATTCGGGTTTCAGTGGTGACCTTGGTTTAAGCCTTGACTCTCACCTTCAAGGCCAACCTTTTGACACCGGCAGTGGAAAATTTCACGATTTAATACGTTCGTATGTACTCGTACTATTATGTAGTATGTATGAAGTTAAGACTCAGGTCAATATTCAAATTCTTGTTAACAGTTACTAAAGCTGATACCTTGATTTTTCCGTTAATAACCCTGCTACACCGGTAGGAATGCTCCCTTGCTTCACACATTTGACCTATAGATATGACCTTGATCTTAAATTTCACTACATATGATGTAGACTTTTCCGTTGTTTCAATTGTGAGTCTTAAAAAGAGGGCTTTCACTTGAAAGAACAAAAACTGATCTTGAAGCACATTCTAGAAAAAAGGCTTCAAACGAAAGCTGCAGAGCTCGAGGGGATAAAATGATGGTGACCTTGGCAATGAGCTTGACCTTCAAGGTAATTTCAAGGTCAAGTTAATATTTTCATATGGACCTCCTTTTTTACATCGCAATTGAACATCACCTTGGCCATGACCTTGACCATTGTCTTCAGAGCCTTTCTACGCGCGGTTCATCTTGCTACTAGCAGATGGCGTCACAAATTGAATTATGCATCTTCTGGTGGAATATGTTGGTCATTGATTTCTTTGAGAAAAACATACTTACATAGGCCTTCCACCTGTCAACCATACAAAACTATCGATAATATGGGCAGGAATCCAATGTAAAAATATCCAGTTAAAGGTATTTAGCGTCCTATTACTACTCACACTACCATTTGGGTACCAGAAAACATCGGAAAATGGGTGTTTCCTCATATATTTAAAACATAGATCTATGAATTGCTGCCATGTTATCGGTTTCCTTTGACCTGTAAAAAATACAATATACATGGCATGATATACCTAGTGGGATGGGTAGGGGAGATTCACATGTCGAGTTTGAGTTTCATAATTTTAGTAGTAATGTTCTAGCATCACATTTCCAACCGTTTGACACCCGATTGTGAACTCCACCGCGCATGCGTTGTCAAAAGACTAGTTTCAAACGGTTCCAAATTTGATTATGCTAGAACACATTTTTCTGTCAAAAACTCAAAAGAGTTGAGAATGACAGCATTGTATTTGACATTTAGATGAAATTCTATGTTTCTTTCCTCATTATTAGGCCAATACTACTTAAAGACTTGATTTAACGTCTTACAGTAGAATAAACAACTAATCGTTATCATGAAATGATGATGTTTCATGTCCTGGGAACTACAAAAACATGAGTGTTTGCTCAAAAGCAGAAAGTTTCTCATTACCTGCAGTCGTCTTTTCGAAGAACATACTGAGTTCGTATTTAGTTGAGATATATTTAGCCACTGTGTGAGTTACTCGGAAATGTTCCATGAATCCACTTCCATTGTACGAGGGCGGTCCGATAAGTACTTAGCTTACAAAACAAAAACGAAAATTTTGGAAAAGTGGCGATTTAGCTCGTACACTTGACCCAGCAATGCTCCAACTTTTTTAACCCGACTGAAAAATACGTTTTCTGGAACTATTCAAGAAACGATACATTTAAAAAATCCTAACCCTAAATCATAAGGCACCTATAACAAAACAGGATCTTGTGCGATTTGCGCATATCAGAAACTCCACAACCCTCCAAGATCCTATGAACTGTTTCGACCATCCGGAACCAGTTTTCCAACCAAAAATTAATTTGCTGACACAGCACAGAAATGTGATACTAGAACATTACAAGTAACAAACTGTATATTTACGTTACCTGTTACACAATTGTATATTTGTAATTCCTTTGGCTTTGTTGTTCCTACCCTCCATGCTGACACGATCATTAGGTTGATGACCATATCAACAGGTACCAAATCTGCTGTTTTATTTGGGTCACACACCATACTCCTAAAAAGACCTTTACCGGCAGCTGCGATAATTCCTGTTAAAAAAAATGTAAAAATCAATGGAAGTTAGTCGCGATGGAATCGAAATTCATGTGTGAAATATGTCTAATAGGTGCGTAGAATTAATTACCAATGTCGGGCGCGTATGAATGTACCAGCATCAAAAATATCAGATTCGTTATATTTATTAGTTGTTTCAAACCACCTTTCTTTCATTTGTTTGTTTGTTTAAGATGTATTTAGCGTGATTACTACAATTACAATCTTTTAAAAAACTAAAACAATTACATAACATACAGATATTTAGAAAGACAACATTTGCATCTCTAAGAACTTTCACTGTACATGAAATGTTCCTTTAATTTTCTTCTAAACCTATTTAAGTTACAAGTAGACTTTATATCACTATTCTCGTAATCCTTTATGAAATATTGAATTGCTAGTTATATTACTATTGCAATTTTGTAAATGAGAATCTATATGTATTCTTGTATAATAATTGTGGTAAGATTATTCAATTCTATTGTAGTGGTCTAAATGTGGTAAAAGATGATTTTTAATTTTGAATATAAAAATAAGAACCAAATGTGATACGAGTTTTTTCATATTTAACCACTGTAATTCTAGTAGCATAGATTTTATTTTAGTGTACTTATTTTCATTCAATATTAATCTCGTAGCTTCATTTTGCAGGACTTGTAATTTTGCGAATACAGCTTCATTGGCTGTGAACAAGATAGTTGAACAATATAGTAAATGCAGTAGAATAATTGTATAATCAACTATTTTTTTTTTTTTGAAACATGTACTAAGATTATGAGAAACCCTATAAAAGTAATTTGTTTTTTGTTTGTATTCATAGTGATTCTCAAGCTTTAGTTTACTATCAATATACAGTATATCCCAGATTCGCTTCTCTATACAGGGATCTCGGTTCCTGTTATACCTACAGCAAAGGTTAAATGGGGAAAGTTTTGGAGGAAACTTAGTGCTTTCGATAGCCGGCTTCAAATTTACGACCGGTCAATTGGTTTTGAAAATATCAGCAAAAAATGGCGGAATTTTTTTTGCCAGTTATTCCAAAACGGTTAATTTGACAGCTGTCAAAATTAGACATCATTTGGACATTTTTTTAAGGCAAATAAGCTAAGGTGTATGACATGTCTCAATCGTCTTTTGTTTTAAAGCAGCACACCTCAACTTCAATTTTTCTTATGGCCGCCTTACTGGATTTTTTGATTTTTGAAAAGAGTGTAAAATTTCCAGTCTAGTGATGTCTCACAAGTGCATAAAAGATTGGAGTATCACCGAAATATCATCACACATAACGTTATGTATTAGTTTTTTCTTAGGAGTATGAGTAAGGGATAAAAAACTCATAAACGCCTTGAATTATCAATCAATATAATATTAACGTTAATATCGACTTATCAACAAGTCAAATGTTTTTGGACAAATTCCCAACTATGCGTGTGTTAAAAAAACAAGTCAGAAAAATCTTCGTAAATTTATTTTACACATGAACAAACAGTTTACAACATTGTAATGTAATGTAAAATCTAATTATGTAAGTGGGTATTAATTTACCCATTTGAATCCAGACAATTTTGACAATTGGTGAATGTTTTTCGTGCAACCTTAGCTAGTGCATTTCTGTTAAAGTTTCTAACTGTGCTCAAAATTCTTTGTCTCAGGATTTATATGGTCGCGCGAGAATCAAATTCATTCTTTGTGTGACCCCAGAGGTAGAAATCCAAGGGCGAAACGTCAGGGAATCTAGGAGGCCAAGATACTGAACCATTTAGCTCGTAAAGCCGGCACAACCTGGTTTCGTAAAAGCTCTAAGTACAGCTATCCGTTTACCTTTTAGTCAAACAAAAATGGTCCTATAAGTCGATTTCCTGAAATGATTAATACCTAATTTCAAATAGGTGCCCAATTAAAAAATGCAAGATAGATTAACTTAGCGATGATCCCACACCAAACGTTAGTTCCAAATCTGGTCTGTAGGTGTCTCTCTGCCACTTCGTGACGGTTTTCCACAGCCCAATGATGAGTGTTGTGCTTATTAAAAACTCCTCAATTCGTAAACCTACTTCTATTATTTTCATTAGACTTCCTAGTATACCATTCAAAGAAACGCATTCGCCTTGGAAAATCAGTTTCCTTAAATCATTTAACTATTGTAAAATTGTATGGGTGGTACTTCTTCTTATTTAACACTCTCTGTACAGTTGATTTTGACACACCAATTTCTCGTTCTATAGTTCTTACTGATGTACTAGCGATTTCGTTGACAGCTTGTAAAATATTTTGTCGCGAATACATTTTCAGTATTGTATCCGCTTCTAGGTTGTTCGAAGGCTTATTAAATTAACTATTTTTCTAAATTGGGTTTTATGAGGCGCCGTCGTCGTCGTTCGGGGTACATCTACAAGTACCTTGCTGAGGTAATGTCGGCGTTTCTGTGTGTCTACAAGTACAGCGCTAACATGTCAAACTTTTCTTCATTTGAGTAGGGAATACCGGACATTTTCAACAGGTTTTGGCAATGTTTTTTGTCAGATTTATGACTTTTTATGAGAGGGAAACGTACCTACTACTTATTAAAACACAATTTTAATACTTTGATTTATTTATAACATCAAAGTCAGAGCCTCCTTAGATGAAAAGCATGAGTTGCTTTTAATTTTATTTTTGACTAAAATCATGGCCTCCTTAGAAAAAACTTAATACATAACGTTACGTGTGATGATATTTCGATGATACTGGAATCTTTTCTGTACTTGTTAGACATCATCAGGCTGGAAATTTTACACTCTTTTCAAAACTCGAAAAATCCAATATCGCGGCTATAAGAAAAATGAAAGTTGAGGCAGGTTGCGGGAAAACAAAAGACGATTGAGACATGTCCTATACGCTATCCTATTTGCCTTCAAAAAATGTCCGAAAAATGGCTGCTATCAATTTAACAGTTTCGGATTTACTGGCAAAAAAAATCGGCATTTTCGGTTTTGCACCTACATATATTTCCAAAACCAATTGACCGATCGTAAATCTGAAGCCGGCTATCGAATGCACTAGGTTTCCACTAAAACTATCCCCACTTAACCTTTGCTGTAGGTATAACAATAGCCGAGATCCCTATACAGAAGCGAATCTGGGATACACAGTATATATATCTAAATATTTAATTGATTCAACATTTTCGATTTTAGTTTATTTAAATTTAACTAATTTATGTTTTTTGTCAAGTCGGAATTTAGCATTTTTTAGGCAGTGTCTATATTTTCATTTGATATGTATATTAGTGTATCATCTGCAAATATCTGAATTTTACAATAATCTAAAATAACACAAATGTCATTAATGTATAACATAAATAGTAGTTGACCTAGTTTACTACCTTATGGTACACCTACAGATATATTTTTTGATCTTGATAATGTAGATCCAATTTTGGTTTTTTGACTTCGGTCAATTAAGTAGTTTTGAAGAATTTTGAATACAGATCCTTTATATCCGTAGTGATTTCATTTTGTAAGTAGTTTATCTCTGTCAGTAGTTTCAAACGCCATTTTGAAGTCCGAAAACGCTGTCACTGTATGTTTCCTACTGTCCATATACTCTAATGATTCTTACTGAATCCAGCTTGAAATTTGGTTAAAATTCTATTACCCTCAATAAATTCGATGATGTATTGGTAAATCATTTCTTCAAAGACTTTTTCAACATCTGGCAGAACATTTATTGGCCGCATACCTGTATTGATGTACAACTTAAAAATTCTTAACTTTCGAAAGAGACGTTATGGTAGAACACTCCGACATATTTTAAACATTAATTTATAAGGATTAATATTCTTGGTATAATAATATCAAAACATTCATTAAGCACTCTTTTAAACGAAATCTCATCTTTATTATGAGTTGATTTCAATTTTGACATAATCTTGAGACAATTAATGTTTATTTCACTCCTGTTAACTTTTACAAATAATTCTTTTGAATTGTTTGCCATTGCCTGTTATTTGTTTGTATTTTATTTATTTTGTATATATGTATATATTTGTTGCTCTTTTGATGAATATTTTTTTGAGTATTTTATACATATCTGACGAAAAATAGATGATTTTTATTATTGTATCCCGGTTTCAAGATATCGTCAAAACTTTACCTGTTGGTCCATTCCAATTGTCCACCCATCCCTTCATAGGTCCCCCCGCGCTACTAAGCACGATACTCGGCCTCACTATCACCAATGGCAATCCTTCGCAATGTTCTCGCAACCAGCATTCGGTCAATGCCTTGGTGAACGTGTACGTGTTCGGCCGGTTGCCTACCAAGCTGGGGGTCAGCTGGTCGACTAGAGGTTCATCCAGGCAGTCCACGAGGGTTGTGACACGTTCTGGATCCATTGGCGGGGAGTAGACTACTTCTGTAACTTCGGTACGGTCGCAGTTGCAGTATGCCGTTGATACGTGTATCTGGAAAATTGGTATAAAAGTTAGACACAGGGTAACGTCGCAGCGCAATGGCAGCCGGTCTTTCTGGACGCTGGCCAAGCAGATTGAAAAGAACTTTTCACACAGTAGCCTTTCACCAGTATCAGAATGGAACGAATGTATCCGACGCAAAGGCCCAGGCGGACGTCATTGTCAAGATCTTTGCTGCCATGTCCACCATGTACGTCCCTCCCAATGCCCAAGTGCCGTCAATTGAAAGGGTTGCCTACTCTATGCGGGTGTCGAGATTGTGGAACAATCTACACGAAGAAACTTTTCCCAGTTCTAATAATCTTAGGCAGTTAAAAAATCGTATTCACAAAATTTCTTTGGGATCATCATAGAGCCGCGGTGTCTCGACATTTAGGCTTCTGCCTGCGCGGCTGCATAAAAAAATCATTTACAAAATGAATAAATAAAGTTAAGTCTTCGTTGGAAACTATCGGTTGGCCCTGATCATATTCCCTTATATTTCTTAAAAACATGTATATATTCACTTTGGCAAAACCATTGTATGTTTAATTCCAGTCGGGAGAATTTCCAAATCACTAGAAACTAGGGCGTACCCAGGGGGAGGAGGGCAAGAGGGACAGCTGCTCTCCCTCTTTCCCTAGCTCGACGAAAATTAAACGGAGATAATATTTTCCACAAAAATTAAACTATTTATGTACAGGGTTCTCCACACTCTGAATCAATATGTATTGAATGAGAAATTACTAGGATTACTAGTATGTTAGATGTTAGATATAAACTTAATTTTGCCAAAAGCACTATATATGTTACGTATGTTTGAAATTCGAACCTCGCCTTTGGGATCTCGGAAATGGTAAAGAGAATGACACACGATCAGTATTTACTTCTTTCTGTGAAGTGGCACTAGGTATGTACGGTGTTCCGTTTAAAAACATCGTTTCTGTTGTCATGTCGGTATAAATTACCCCGTAGGGAGCGGTATATTCCAAGTAGGAAGCGTATATACCACAATTTTTGTAAATAGCATGTTTGATTATGTTATATAGAAATGGAGATATTATGCAATTAAGTACTAAAAACTCACCTTGTATGTCTAATTTATTGCAGCAGTTACGTCGCTGGATACCTTGAGCAATTTTGAAGATTTTTTTTATGTCAATCATTACAAAGGCTTTAACTTTTGGCTACTATTTCATATTTACTCTTATGCACTTTTCGGTCAAAAATTAACGATTTTTTGCAATATCCAATTAACCGTTGTAATGAACTGTAGATACCCATTACTCCTCAAGTTTAAAGTTCGAAAAAATGAGACCCAAAATTATTTATTTCACTCTAAAGACTATATAAATCCTGTACAAGTTATTTTACAACAGGGTCCACATATGGCTATGTAGCCTGATCAAATAAGTTTTCAAATTGCATACCTCGTGTTGCTCGTGCTTTGTTTGGAGTTACCCAAAAATGAATAACGAGTTTTGCCGGATTTCACAATCTTTGAATCCTTCAAAAAAACTTTTAACTATGTCTTAAAATGTACTAAGTGACATATAAAATGCAACATCCAGAATTATTTATAGAATTTTGATAAAAACTTGTGAACATATTTGCTACCATGGAAGTATACGCTCATAAAATGTTGTAGGCATACCGAGCCGTACTTTTTTGTAAACGCTTTTTCGTCATATCAGGATCTGAACAATATGAACATGTTTACTTATATTCAGTGATTTTTGTGTTGGTTTCATTTATTTCATTGCATTATCATGCCTAGAGTTGAAGAGGGGTCTGATAATCGGCATGGGTATCATGTAAAAAACCTATAAAACGAAAAAAAAAATATAAGATGCCATCTTGCAAACTAGGTAGTTTTTAGGGCGCAAACAGTCGTTCCACGTTTGCTCACTAGGATCGTTGTGAACGCCCATCTAAGGAGGAGTCTCTCAACTAAACTAAATGCATTATTGGTTGCATATGTTTTGTAAGGCCAAATGGTCCTTGTTTGTAGTTTTTATCCCTGAGAAGAAAGTTGGTTGAATAGCAAGATCGCATCTGGATGATTATGTGTATTGGTCTGCATGTGTATAAAATCAGTGATATTTACTGTGTGAGAAAATCATTACTGAATATGCTGCCAATGAAGTATATCTATTGGCTGTGCCCGACGGGTTATTTTTATGTTGTGCTTTCTGAAGAGAGGTTATGTTCAAAGTTATAAATTACGAAAAACTGAGGAGAATTACGAGAAATCATCACCGCGCCCGCATTGCGTGTAATTACTGTTAGCATGTATATGGCTTGTAATTCGACACTGTACAGTGAATATAATCATTTCTTATCTCTCTCATTTTTGAAATTCAGCAAATTGTATATGTAATTTACATAATGGATAAGAAAAAGTGGATGCTCAACTAATTTCTAGCTTTGAATCTGAATTGTATTTGAGACAAGAACCCAATGTAATTATCATCAACACATACACCGGTGTGAAGTTGGCTTTATCACATCATGCCACCTAGCCTATAAATTGTCCCTATAATAGAGTATTTTTTTGAGGTACAACTGATTTTGGGGAATCATTTCCTTGGGGGTAAAAATGAATTTTTTAGCATATTTTTTTATCTGCCAGCCTTTCAGAAGCTTTCTCACACCATGCCACCCCAGCCTTTAAATTGTCTCTATAATATAGTATTTTTTTGAGGTACAAGTGATTTTGGGGAATCATTTCCTTGGGGGTGAAAATGAATTTATAAACTTATTTTTTATCTGCCAGCCTTTCAGAAGCTTTCTCACACCATGCCACCTAGCCTATAAATTGTCTCTATAATAGAGTATTTTTTTTGAGGTGCAACTGATTTTGGGGAATCATTTCCTTGGGGGTGAAAATGAATTTATAAACATATTTTTTTATCTGCCAGCATTTCAGAAGCTTTCTCACACCATGCCACCTAGCCCATGAATTGTCTCTGTAATAGAGTATTTTTTTGAGATATAAATCATTTTGGGTTATCATTTTTTTGGGGGTGAAAATGAAGTTTTATTTATATTTTTTCATCTAGCACCCCTTTAGAGATTTTCTCAGTATATGCTATTTAGCACATTAATTACTTTCAATACAGTAATCGGTAAGTGAAAATTCGAAGAAAGGTTTTGGGTTAACTCTTGTTCCTGCGAATTATTTAATTAGGGTGGAAAACGATTCTTCCTATAGGGGTGCTTATTCTGGTGCATATATATTTATTGTTGCAAGCTGTAAGCTGTATCCTTCACAATCACAGTCTGGTCCAGGATCTCGACGCCACTGGTCATTCGGGTATCTTCGGCAAATTGTCCGCTAAATTTTGTCTGCCAACTTCACACCGGTAACACATACAACTTACAGCTTAGACCTCCAGTAATGCCATCTCAGAAGCAGATTTTACATCACATCAGAGCCAAAGATTGATAACAAGCCTCATGATGTTTAGGCAACACGTACAACAAAGTGCTAAGTCAAGGTCTTGGCGAAAAACCTACATAATGTAAAAAAACAGCATAATGTCAAAAAAAATCGGCATAATGTCACTTTTCAAGATACGTGATACCCGTGCCGGTTACGTGAAGTCGGATTTTGTTTTAGAGGAATCGCTAATCGGGTGAACCGAAACGAAGCTACTGTAATGAGATGTTGTCGAGCGTGGTTCCAAGAAGGCCGAAATCGAGGAGTTAGAGGTACTGGACAGACAGACTACAGAGAGACATGAGACTGCCCATCGCTATATCCACGAAGTTTTATAACCACATCTGCTTCTCTTTTTGGAAATATTGCAAGATCCACCTTTTCAGCAGGACAATGCACGACCTCATGTCGCACGAGTTAGTTTAGACTTTTTAGAAGCGTCCGGTGTAAATCTGCCTCAGTGGCCTCCTCAATCTCCAGATCTATCCCCCATCGAACATGTATGGGACATGATGGGAAGGTTGTAAAATTCACCGCACCCTCCACAAACATTGGAGGTTCTATGAAACCAAATTCAGATGGCCTGGGATGCAATACACCAAGAAGACATCAATCACCTAATCCAATCAATGCCGCGACGACTTAACGAATGTGTAGCGAACAGAGGAGCTTCAACACATTATTAACATTAAGGTGGGATATCTCAGCTATTTTGCGAAATTTCGAGTTAAAATTTGAATCACTTTCTACTTATCAGTAGACCTAAACCTTGTAAAAGTATGTTCAAAATTACACCACTCCTAGTCAGTGTTGGATTTTTTATGTCCTTTGGTATACTCGTATATCATCAGACAAAGTTTGACTTATTTCTGAATTTTGCCTCCTTTAAGAAAATTTTTGATTGCGTTATTGCGTTCAGAACCGAAAAAAAAGATAAGGTCAAGTTTGAGGAGTTATAGATTTTTTTGGTCATAATACTGGTACCATTCAAATATCTTCAAAATCCAGTGATACTTTCCAAGTTATAGAAGGACCAATGATTAAATTGTTTTTTTGACGGTTACTCTATCGCAACAGAACCGATTAACAAAAACTATAAATATGTTTCTGTCTGTAATGGAGAGCCAATGATTACCTGACGAACGCCATAAAAAATATACCTACCACTTCATATCTGAAAATTGTTCTTACATTGGAAGTTTTGCCGAAATTACAGCGTTTCCCTGGCCTACTGACTTGACCGAAAAAATGAGCACCCTGTTTGAATTTTGAGGAATATGTACGCCCAAAAAATAGGTAAATAAAATTTGCAGTATAAGCGAACGATTATTATACAGGGTGGCGCATCGAAAACGAAACAGACGCATTTACTAGCAGCTCAGTTTTTTTTTGAAAAACGCTCAGACCCGTCGATTTTGTTTTCGAGGGGGACACAAGTTCGGCAAAAAATCACGTTAGCCCGTGCAGCCACCTAAGCAGTGGTGACACCACCCCCAAACTTTTAAATGGAAAGGGGGGTCGAGTGATACCTTATTGTAAAGGTCTTTCAATTCCCTTTATAATGATATAAAATTAATGTACTTCAGTTCAGTAGTTTTGAAGATTTATTGATTTAAAGCTTGAATAAAACTAATACATCATCATTAGTGGATATCAATACATTTGGCAGCAAAGTGAAATGACTCTCCATGCAATAATAATGATTTTGCTCAAAACGTTGCCGCACATTTTGCAATATTTGAGGAGTAATTTGAAGGCACTCATTCACAATTCTTTGTCGCAGGTCTTCTAATGATGTTGGCTGAGTAGCATAGATTTTGCTTTTTAAATGACCCCACATAAAGAAATCCAAAGGTGATAAATCTGGCGATCTTGGGGGCCATTCAATGGCACCTTTTCTGCCAATCCATCGATTTGGAAACGTCTGATCTAAATATTGTCGAACACGTAATGCGTAATGTGGTAGGGCACCATCCTGTTGGAACATCAACCTATTCGCAATGTACCCCCGATCATTCTGATTTTCAATTATGGCTGTTAATGCAGGATCTATGGTGTCTTCCAGTAATTCCAAATACATTTCACCGGTCAAATTTCCAGGTAAGAAAAAAGGACCAACTAAATGATCGCCAAAAATACCAGCCCAAACATTTAATTTTTGTGGCTGGTGTTTGAACCTCATGATAAATTCTGGGATTAGAATCGGACCAATATCGGCAGTTATGACGATTTACTACGCCATTTAAGAAAAAGGAACATTCGTCGGAAAAGCAAGTGTTGAATAGAAAATGTTCATCGTTAATAATTCGTTCACTCATATCTTCACAAAATTGTAATCGCCGATCAAAACCGTCTTCATTAAGTTCTTGTACCAGGTGAATTTTATACGGATGAAAACTATGGGCCTTTAGAATCCGTTGGATAGTACGTCGAATAACACCACACACAGTCTCCAATTTGCGGGTACTTAACGTAGGATCTAGATAAACTTGCCCTAAAACCCCCACTTCTATTGCTTCGTTCCTTATGGGATTTTCAATGTTGCGTTTTTTATTGGCGATTGACCCAGTTTCCCGAAATTTAGCTACAGGTTCTAGAACATATTTTCGATGCACGTTACTGTTCTCATGTCGCTCATTAAATATTTCTGCTGTTCTATTAGCGCACTGATTATTTCCGAAAAATATTTCGATAATTTCAACTCTTTCTGCTGTGGAATATACCATGGTTAATTCATGTAATAAAACGTTAGCAACAAAGTTTGGTCAAATCAATCGCAAACTATGTACTAAATTCCTATTTAAAATAAGTACGAGATATTTCCTTATCGTTCTTCAAGAAATAACTATTTTTGACACAAAAAACGCTCCAATAGCTATTTTCGACAACAAAATGATAAACAAACCATGGACGTAGTGAAGAAAAGCATTTACTTATTAAGTTAATTCTTTTAGTAACATTTCTTCTGATAGTAGTACAAACTAATCTGATGTACCTATTAAAGTCTACTTTAAGCTTTAAATCAATAAATCTTCAAAACTACTGAACTGAAGCTCATGTATTTTACATCATTATAAAGGGAATAGAAAGACCTTTAAAATAAGGTATCACTCGACCCTCCTTTCCATTTAAGATTTTAGGGTTAGTGTCACCCCCGCCCAGGGGGCTGCACGTGTTAACATGATTTTTTGCCAGACTTGTGTCCACCTCGAAAACAAAATCGACGGATCTGAGCGTTTTTCAAAAAAAAACTGAGCTGCCAGTAAATGCATCTGTTTCGTTTTCGATGCGCCACCCTGTATATTATCTCAAGTGCTGCTTTCAAGTATTGCAAACGACTAAACTATTACTTAAAAAAGCATCCCTTGCAATTTTTCAATGTTTCAAAAGAGTAATGGTAGTAGTTTTCAATATCCATATGAATTGTCAATTTATCGTGGAAGCCTCTATAGAAATAAATAAAACAATGAAATAAAAATAGAAAGAAAAATATCAATCATTGTAGAACTTTCACCAATAATTTTTTTCAAGGTGCCCCCTTCTGTTCTGCGCTGGGTACGCCCTTGACTGGAAACAAAGCTTTTTCACAAAATTAACAAAAAGAATCGACTGTTTCCATAGTGCACATGCGTCTATCAAGATTTCTCCTACATCTTGCTGTCTGTAAATAAAACGAGAAGAAGATGTTCAAAAGTTGCAACTTACCAAAGCCTCAAGATGGTCCATCCTCTTGCACAACTCTACCAATCTTCTGGTACCCAGCAAATTGATGGTAACGCTCAGCTTCAGCTTTTCGTCAAATTTGACAGTTGCTGCGCTGTGAAACACCACATTGACACTTCGTTCCAACATGGCCCTGTCAGAAGCTGTTATCGCCAATTCTGGTTGTGTAATGTCGCCTTCTATCGGTAGGACTTTCCGTAAGTCTTGGGGCCGCTCTTTGCGCAACGGGTCGAAAAGCTGAAAAACATTTTGACTTTATAACGGATGTTTTTTTAGAGGTATAGAACTTTAAATTGCAATAAAACAACGATGGATTATTCGATTGACATGATTTTTTTTTATTATTCGAAAGATAATCTTGTGGCATTACATTTTAAATATGATTTCTGGCATATGACTGCCACGGCTGGCTCGGATGTAGTCCAATTTTCGATTACTTTTTCCAACATTTGTGGCTTATCCGCATAGCCCCACAGAAAATAGCCTAGCGGTGTTAAATCACAAGATCTTGGAGGCCAATTCACAGGTCCAAAACGTGAAATTAGGCGGTCACCAAACGTGTCTTTCAATAAATCGATTGTAGCACGAGCTTTGTGACATGTTGCGCCACCTTGTTAGAACACACAGCTCCTGGACATCATGATTGTTCAATTCAGGAATGAAAAAGTTTGTAATCATGGCTCTATACCGATCACCGTTGACTGTAACGTTCGGGTCATCATCGATTTTGAAGAAGTACGGACCAATGATTCCACCTGCCCATAACGCGCACCAAACAGTCAGTTTTTCTGGATATAACGGTGTTTCGACGTAGACTTGAGGATTAGCTTCACTCCAAATGCGGCAGTTTTGTTTGTTGTCGTAGCCATTCAACCAGAAGTGCGCTTCATCGCTAAGCAAAATTCGCTTATGAAAATCGGGAACAACGGCAATCTCGTTTTGGGCCCATTCAACGAATCTACGCCTTGCTTGATAATCGTTTGGCTTCAATTCTTGCACGAGTTGGATTTTGTAAGCGCGCAAACTGAAATACCTCAATCTTTTTACTGCCCTCCAAAGTTGAGGGATGGAAGAGATTTTTCGCAAACAAACGAATTTAAGATTTTTTGCGTTGTTTTCTAATTAGCTCTGTTAAAAAGTGACGTAACCATTGCTGAAACTAACCATTCAGCTCATCTCAAAGAAAAAAATCATAGCCCGAAACCTAATGGCTCACTTGTAATTGCGATTGAAAGTTCATTATCCCGTTTCTGGAATATGGGCAAATCGCAAATTACTATTAAATGTATCATGACCACGCAAATAAAATAGTGCTCGCGATAATAGTATTTAAATAAAATCATTAAATGAGTTCAGATGTATACCAGTTTCATTTTTATTTTCATATCGACATATAATGTCGTTAATCAGGTGTGACATTATACCATCATAGTGACATCATTTCCACGTCATTTTTTTTTGTTGGCGTTCGTCAGTAGTGTTCACTAGGGCATATAAGGGAGTACCAAATTGTACCCCGAAAGAATCAGTGTCTCAGTTGTTCTTGAACTTAGAAAAAGCTCTTGTTATTTTTCAAAAACCTGTCGTTTTCAACAAGAGCCCGAATAACTAAAAGCATGTATTGCAACTCTGTTATTTAAAAAGGATAGAATTTTCAAACGTCAAACTGTGACCTATCCTCATTGATTCCCCATTCTTATGCAAGAAATCGAACTCGTACTCATGGGGAGCTGAATTTCGCGCATCGTAGGGGCATTTCACCTCCACAATACCATCATCTCCGACAAGTGCATCGAGTGAAGCTGCAGTGTATGGGTATTCGAAGTGTATCATCAGTCCAACGACAGAACATTTAACAGCCATTTGAACCCATACCCTGAGGGCTGAAATCGATTTTTTTGTTATCTGGTTTTTGGCTGCTACCCCATTAGAAGTTCGCTCAGTAAATTTGATCTGGCCCATAAATTGTATTATTATATGAATAATTTTTCGAGATATATTTCATCGAGGACACTCATTCCCTAAGGGTTGAAATCGATTTTTTATTATCTGGTTTTTGGCTGCTACCCCATTAGAAGTTCGCTCAATAAATTTGATCTGACCCATAAATTGTATTATTATATGAATAATTTTTCGAGATATATTTCATCGAGGACATTCATTCCCTAAGGGTTGAAATCGATTTTTTTATTATCTGGTTTTTGGCTGCTACCCCTTTAGAATTTAGATCAGTAAATTTGATCTTTCCCATAAATTGTCTTAATATATGAATAATTTTTCGAGATACTTTTAATCGAGGACACCTATTCCCTAAGGGTTGAAATCGATTTTTTTATTATCTGGTTGTTGGCTGCTACCCATTTAGGAGTTTGCTGAGTAAATTTGATCTGGTCCATAAATTGTCTTAATATATGAATAATTTTTCGAGATACTTTTAATCGAGAACACCTATTCCCTAAGGGTTGAAATCGATTTTTTTATTATCTGGTTTTTTGCTGCTACCCCATCAGAAGTTCGCTCAGTAAATTTGATCTGGCCCATAAATTGTATTATTATATGAATAATTTTTTGAGATACTTTTCATCGAGGACACCTATTCCCTAATAAGGGCTGAAATTGATTTTTTTAATATCTGGTTTTTGGATGCTACCCCATTAGAAGTTCGATCAGTAAATTTGATCTTTCCCATAAATTGTCTTAATATATGAATAATTTTTCGAGATACTTTTAATCGAGGACACCTATTCCCTAAGGGTTGAAATCGATTTTTTTATTATCTGGTTTTTGGCTGCTACCCATTTAGGAGTTTGCTGAGTAAATTTGATCTGGTCCATAAATTGTCTTAATATATGAATAATTTTTCGAGATACTTTTCATCGAGCACACCTATTCCCTAAGGGCTGAAATCGATTTTTTTAATATCTGGTTTTTGGCTGCTACCCCATTAGAAGTTCGCTCAGTAAATTTGATCTGGCCCATAAATTGTCTTAATATATGAATAATTTTTCGAGATACTTTTAATCGAGAACACCTATTCTCTAAGGGTTGAAATCGATTTTTTTATTATCTGGTTTTTTGCTGCTACCCCATTAGAAGTTCGCTCAGTAAATTTGATCTGGCCCATAAATTGTATTATTATATGAATAATTTTTTGAGATACTTTTCATCGAGGACACCTATTCCCTAATAAGGGCTGAAATTGATTTTTTTAATATCTGGTTTTTGGATGCTACCCCATTAGAAGTTCGATCAGTAAATTTGATCTTTCCCATAAATTGTCTTAATATATGAATAATTTTTCGAGATACTTTTAATCGAGGACACCTATTCCCTAAGGGTTGAAATCGATTTTTTTATTATCTGGTTTTTGGCTGCTACCCATTTAGAAGTTCGCAGAGTAAATTTGATCTTTTCCATAAATTGTCTTAATATATGAATAATTTTTCGAGATACTTTTCATCGAGGACACCTATTCCCTAAGGGTTGAAATCGATTTTTTTATTACGTGGTTTTTGGCTGCTACCCATTTAGGAGTTTGCTGAGTAAATTTGATCTGGTCCATAAATTGTCTTAATATATGAATAATTTTTCGAGATACTTTTCATCGAGGACACCTATTCCCTAAGGGCTGAAATCGATTTTTTTAATATCTGGTTTTTGGCTGCTACCCCTTTAGAAGTTCGATCAGTAAATTTGATCTTTCCCATAAATTGTCTTAATATATGAATAATTTTTCGAGATACTTTTAATCGAGGACACCTATTCCCTAAGGGTTGAAATCGATTTTTTTATTACCTGGTTTTTGGCTGCTACCCATTTAGGAGTTTGCTGAGTAAATTTGATCTGGTCCATAAATTGTCTTAATATATGAATATTTTTTCGAGATACTTTTCATCAAGGACACCTATTCCCTAAGGGCTGAAATCGATTTTTTTAATATCTGGTTTTTGGCTGCTACCCCATTAGAAGTTCGCTCAGTAAATTTGATCTGGCCCATAAATTGTCTTAATATATGAATAATTTTTCGAGATACTTTTAATCGAGGACACCTATTCCCTAAGGGTTGAAATCGATTTTTTTATTATCTGGTTTTTGGCTGCTACCCATTTAAAAGTTCGCTGAGTAAATTTGATCTGGTCCATAAATTGTCTTAATATATGAATAATTTTTCGAGATACTTTTCATCAAGGACACCTATTCCCTAAGGGCTGAAATCGATTTTTTTAATATCTGGTTTTTGGCTGCTACCCCTTTAGAAGTTCGATCAGTAAATTTGATCTTTCCCATAAATTGTCTTAATATATGAATAATTTTTCGAGATACTTTTAATCGAGGACACCTATTCCCTAAGGGTTGAAATCGATTTTTTTATTACCTGGTTTTTGGCTGCTACCCATTTAGGAGTTTGCTGAGTAAATTTGATCTGGTCCATAAATTGTCTTAATATATGAATAATTTTTCGAGATACCTTTCATCAAGGACACCTATTCCCTAAGGGCTGAAATCGATTTTTTTAATATCTGATTTTTGGCTGCTACCCCATTAGAAGTTCGCTCAGTAAATTTGATCTGGCCCATAAATTGTCTTAATATATGAATAATTTTTCGAGATACTTTTAATCGAGGACACCTATTCCCTAAGGGCTGAAATCGATTTTTTTATTATCTGGTTTTTTGCTGCTACCCCATTAGAAGTTCGCTCAGTAAATTTGATCTGGCCCATAAATTGTATTATTATATGAATAATTTTTTGAGATACTTTTAATCGAGGACACCTATTCCCTAAGGGTCGAAATCGATTTTTTTATTATCTGGTTTTTGGCTGCTACCCATTTAAAAGTTCGCTGAGTAAATTTGATCTGGTCCATAAATTGTCTTAATATATGAATAATTTTTCGAGATACTTTTCATCGAGGACACCTATTTCCTAAGGGCTGAAATCGAATTTTTTAATATCTGGTTTTTGGCTGCTACCCCATTTGAAGTTCGCTCAGTAAATTTGATCTGGCCCATAAATTGTATTATTATATGAATAATTTTTCGAGATACATTTCATCGACGACACTCATTCCCTAAGGGTTGAAATCGATTTTTTTATTATCTGGTTTTTGGCTGCTACCCCATTAGAAGTTCGCTCAATAAATTTGATCTGGCCCATAAATTGTATTATTATATGAATAATTTTTCGAGATATATTTCATCGGGGACACTCATTCCCTAAGGGTTGAAATCGATTTT